TAAGCTTGGTAAGGGTGGCTATGGAATGGTATATGAAGTTCGAGATAAATGTAACCATCAATTCTATGCAATAAAGAAATATCTATTAAATGGTTGTATTCATTAGTCTGGGCTTCCGGTGCCATATAGTCAACAGTTCCCACTTCTGCCGTATGTTTGGCTTTAGACATAAGAAACGGATCACAATTTGGGAAATCTTTAGCCAAACCAAAGTCACATAACTTTATCTTTCCATTCCATGTAAACAAAACATTATCCGGTTTAAGGTCTCTATGAATAATATGCTTTTCGTGCAAATATTGCACACATTCTGTGAGTCTATGAAACATTTCATACGATATATAAAACTCAAAGCTTGTCATCAATTCATTAAACAATGATTTCTTAGTTTCCAAAACATTGTTGAGATTATCGATACATAACTACATTTGAAAGTAAAGACAATTGCATTCAATCCATGAATAGTAGTATTGAATCACAAACTTTGACCGAAGTTTCACAAGACTTTGCGTTTCANATTATCGATACATAACTCCATTTGAAAGTAAAGACAATTGCATTCAATCCATGAATAGTAGTATTGAATCACAAACTTTGACCGAAGTTTCACAAGACTTTGCGTTTCATTCAAAACATTTTGTTTCTCTTTTTCTGTCAATCCTTTAGAAAATAAAAATATTATAAAAATGGGTATAAATATAGGAAAATTTTATTTTAAAAATATTTACCATTTAATAGACATTTCTTTATTGCATAGAATTGATGGTTACATTTATCTCGAACTTCATATACCATTCCATAGCCACCCTTACCAAGCTTATTTATTACATCAAATGACTTTTCAAATGATATTGAATTATTCAACTTATCGTGAGTTTCTATAATAAAACATTATATTAAATCACAATTAAGGCATTATTGTAATATTTACCAGAAATTTGTGTATTTTGTTGAATATGTGTTGAAATAGTAATTAAAGTGATTTGCCTTTCATTTAAAAAATAATCATCAAATGATGTATAATTGGTTTCAAACAGATCTTTGGAAACAATTTCATATATTTTATCACCAGATTTGCCCACAATTACTGAGTTATGTTTTTGTTTGATTTCATTGAACACAAAATGTGACAATATTTCTAAACACTTTTTACGAAAGTCATATCGATATAAGTGATCATGGTTAGATAACAAATATGCACAAAAAGAACCTTGTGGAAGTGCATTGTTTATCTTAATTTCAATTTCTAATAGATGTGGTGTTTTTATTATATTATCATATACCTTTCCCCATATAAGCACCTGTCCCTCACAAGTAAGCGCAAGTGATGTCCACTCATTGCTCTCTATTTTACTAATTTGATATTCAGTGGCAAATTTAACAGGAGTTGGATCTAATTGAATACTTTTATCGCCACAACCAACCTGTCCTCTGGTATTACACCCCCACCCGAATACCTGTCCATTTGATGTCAACATAATTGTGTGATAATAACCACATCTTATTTGTGAAATAATTAAATTGTTTGATTGGAAATATAATATAGTATCCGGTTTATTGTATACATTCTCATCCATATCCACATGCCTTCCCAATTGTCCCTCATTATTGCTACCCATACTGAATATCACGTTATTATCCGTATTGACAGCCAATACAAAGTTTTTTCCACTGAAAAACTGATGTATATTTTTATGGCATAATTCTGGCACTGGTTGTGGTGTATGAATGGGTGTGTTGTGTCCTAACCCGAGCTGACCCTCACTATTAGATCCCAATCCATACACCATATCATTAAATGTCACAAACAGTATGTTATGTTCCCAATACTCTTCGAGAACATAAAAATATTTAATTTCTTGTTTTAAATGTTGTGGTATTAGATCACAAATTTTATAATTATTTATTACAGTTGACATTTTATTTCCACATTTGCTCCAAATATCAGTATTTTGTTGAATAAGTGCTGAAATTGTATTTAAAGTGATTTTGAATTCTTGTGAAAAATAATCATCAAATGATTTTCGTCAACAATTTTATATATGAGGCCTGATAATACGTAAAGGACATGTTGAAATTCATACTATTTTGTGTTTCCGTAAGCTTTTCCATAGTAATACCTATGGAAAAGCTTACGGAAACACAAAATAGTATGAATTTCAACATGTCCTTTACGTATTATTAGGCCTCATATTATAATATATATATATATAATATTTCAAATTATCCCATTATTAAAGGAATGGCAACTTTTTAAAAATTTATGATTTATTTACAATAAGTGACAAAATTGAGAATGTTAAAATATAGTATAAGTCATATATCGTGAGACAAGTTTTATTTTATTGTAAAATTATAACGAATAGAGTTATTTGAGTAAAATTTGATGGACATGTAAATAGTATAGTATTGAATCATTTCTTGTGTCTAATTGGTTGATATGGCCCATTGGTTCCGATATCTTTAAGAACTCTTCGGATACCTAACATCAAAGTCTGTGCACTCTTTTCTGCGACAGAAAAACTAACTTTTATCAAAATTCTTGTGAATTGTTTGGTTGTTTTAGATGTGATGGATGTCTTAGAGTAAACTTTTTTACAAATAGCTCAAACCTTTTCAATAGGTCTAGCCTGTGGACAGTTAGATGGGTTATGGTCTTTGGGTACAAATGCAATGTTATTGCTGTTTAGGCTATAATTCGCAAAATTCTTATAGAAATGCACAACTATTTTTGGTATGACTTGTCTTTAAGACAAATTCATTGCCATATAATTGATAATTAAGACATAAATTGGGATCAATTCTTGAAATTCAATAAAAAAGCTATAAATCGCACCGAATTCCGGTAACAATTGCGCGGTATATACGGCGCGAGACGACCCCCAAAATTGTCTCATTATATATGACTTATACTTTAGGTACCATTCTTTTATTAATAGGAATAATTTTAATTATTGTATATTACAATTATTATTATATGTAAATTAATATTTATTATGGGTAACTTACCAATATCATCTTCCAAATTTGTATGTTTAACGATTATTGTATGCGATGTTATCTGATAGTTTTGGGCATAATAATCAATTACATTTAAATGATCTGTTTTATAAATCGCCTTATCGATAATTTTATAAATTTTATTGTTTTCAATGCCAATAATAAAATCAAAATAATTAAATGAATTTGCTTGAAAAAAATTTTCAATCTTAATTTTCATTTTAATTTGAACAGGTTCTTTCTCATGAAATTCTTTATGTTTATCCGTATAGTATCCACAAAAATAAACATGATCATCATTCGTAAAATATGAATTCACCCAGGATGAACATATTGATTTTACATTTGTAAGATTTATTAATAATTTTGGCATGTACACATTGTGACGTACATTATGCCCAAGTTGATAATTATTATTATAACCCCAACTATACACATGACCATTCTCATTTATTGCAAATGATGATAATCCATAGCATGAAATATATCTAATTTTATCGTTTTTTTCAAATTCAACTTTAATAGGTATGTGTTTCATTTCATGCTCTATTCCAATACCTAACTGTCCAAATTTATTACTACCCCAGGCATGGACATCACCATTTTTTGTCAGTATCATGGTATAACTCACACCACACCATATGTCAATTATATCTTGATAGTTTATATCCAGTTTAATTATATCGGGTTTATGATATAAAAGGTCATTGGCTGTTTGTCTACCCAATTGACCATAATCATTTTGACCCCAACTATATATTCGTCCAATGTTGTCAGTTGCAAGCACAAATGTAAGTCCATTAATGAACTTGACAATTTTTTTATTATGTAGCTCAGGTATTTCAATGTAGTTATCAATTACGGGATTATTATTACCAAGTCCTAAAATACCTTCCACGTTTGCACCTTTACTAAATGCACGATCATCAAATGTGACAAATATAATATTATATCCATCACGATCATCAAGCACAATGAACAACTTTATTGATGTTTTTATATCACAAGGTAATGTTTGACAAATATTAAATTTATCTAAAATAGACATTTTAAAACTAGTTGTAAGTGCGTATTTATTAACCTAATAGTCGCTATAGCAATGTAATTAAACTGATAATGTTACCATTTTTAATATGTAACCTTATCTAAATTTTTGTTTATATTTATAATGTTAGCATTTTAGTATGCACTGTAATTCAAGGCTAACATGTTAGTTCAGTTATTCAGTTATTATGAATTATTAACAATATCACTATAGTTATGTATAATATAAGTAAATTAAAAATTAAATACTAAATTAAATGTAATATACGCGGTAATTTAATAATTTATAATAATGTGCTCAAAATTATTACGATCAATAGATGAGCTTAAAAATGTTCAAGGTTTGTCAATAACTGATATAATTAAATTTTATATATTAAAAAAACGTGAAATTGAACCTGCTGAGTGCAACAATGATAAAGAGATCATATATATTATTAATTCAAATAATGAGCACGATCAAGTTTATGGCATTGGACAAATTTTTAGAAATATTTTTAATTCAAATAACAACCCTGTGCACATTAATGAATTATGCAGTAAAGGTATAAGAGACTTTTATAATGGCAACAAATTTATCATGGCCCTTACTGAGAATGGAAGTGTGTATTCATTCGGCCTTAATGATCAAGCTCAATTAGGACATGGAAATTTAATCAACACATTTGGAAAACCGAAAAAAATTAATTTCAATTTTAGTAATATTAATTTCACCAATAATGAGACGGTTATTGAAATTATCCAGCTAAGTTGCGGTCAAAGTCATACACTTGCGTTGGATAGCACTGGATGTGTGTACGGGTGGGGTAGCAATAAATATCGACAAATATTAAATGACCCTACTATTCAACATGTTATGTCACCACGATTGATCAAGCTAAAGCGATATGATTCCAGCATAATCATGCACGATATCAAATACGTAAGCTGCTTCCGGGACACGTCATTCGCCATAACCAGGGATCATAAACTGTACAGCTGGGGTTCGCCAGAATTTTGTAACCTAGGTTATACGAATCGAAATTTATTAATACCTAGAAACCCTACAAATGGTCAGATTATGACAATTTGCACAAACAAATGGATTAACTTATTAAGCAACAAGGGTGAAATTTATTATTACGGCACACCACCGTATCACGTGGGTCAGCCATATAAATATGCACAAAAATTACACTTCCCACAAAAGGAGAAAGCTCAATTTTCATTTGACGCCGGGGTCATAATCATGAAAGGTAATTTAATTGAATTGCTTGGCGAAAGAACGGTGATGATTAATCCCCATTATAAGCTAGCAGACTATTATTTAAATTATAAAAAATGTTCATTTAACACTATACATGTTAAAGCCAATGTACCGTATTCTACGACCATGTACACAGATAGCTTAGTTAACTGTGAACATAATATTAGATTTTTGAACCAATTACAATCGTCAATTGAATGCTTTAAGTGTAATAAACAATGGCCCGATGATGATTATGGAAATGTTAGTTATTTAAGGGATAATTTTAATGCATTATCAAAAATTGGTGAAGGTGGATTTGGAAAAGTATATCAGGGGACAGACATCATAACCTTGAATACTTTTGCAATTAAACAAATAGCATACAGAGGTAAGTTGATTTAACTTATAAAAACAATTACACTTGAGGCGGATCTATTTTTAAATTAATTTTCAAATAATTTATTTTAGAATTAACAGATTACGAGAAAAGCAAATTATTTACCGAAGTCGAAAATCTAATTATGGTCAGATCGGAATATGTTATTAAATATATACACTCGTGGATAGAGCCGGGTTATTTTTATATTCAGATGGAATTGTGTTCGCATAGTCTTAAGAAAATAATTAGAGACATGCAAAAAATTCCAAAATTTTGTGATAAAAATAACACCATGGCGTGCAGTTATTTTATTTCGAGCATTATATTCAAGCAAATTTTAGAAAGTGTTCAGTATTTACATGCTTTGAAACCACAGATCATTCACAGAGACCTCAAACCCGACAATATATTAGTGGTAAAGACTGTAAGGAACGGCAGGTTTATTAAGTTATGCGATTTTGGATTGGCAACTATGCATGATATAATGCGATATAAACACAAAGCTGATGTGGGCGATATTAAATATATTGCACCCGAAGTGGCGAATGGTAGCAATTATAATCACAAATGTGACATTTATAGTTTAGCATTGGTGGCTCGCGAATTATTTAAACAAGATCAGTTTGATATAATTGATATAGCGTAAGTTAACAAATAAAATTATATTGATAAAAATTTATAGTAGATAATTGTAATACCTAGTTAAAGCAAATTCCATATTTTAGTTAATTGTTAGCAAATTAAACACATTAAATTTCACACATCAAAATTGAATTTTTTTGGAAATTCTGATATAAATAAGAAAGATACATTTTAAAATAATTTACTTGTATAATTCTAGGGCAAAAATTGAACCTAACGATTGCTTAAAAGCAAATTTTACACACTTGATTGCCAAGTTTAACCAAATGTCAGCAAATCCAGATTGGCAAACACGACCTGAATGCAAAGATATATTAAGTGATTTTGACAAATGGTCAAATAGTAGCAAGTTTACACTAGATGAATCGGACGTAAACTGTCTACGTGGAAAATTACAACATTCTCCAAATAGATTCTTTTACGAATTAATATCCAGTTATTTGAACGCAAACAATGGTTTATGATTAGTATAATTTAGGCAAACTTTAAATAAAATT